AGGCCATTTCTTTTAGGTTGGAGGCCATCGCTGTCTGGTTGGAGGCCGTTTCTATCAGGTTGGAGGCCATCGCTATTAGGTCTATTAATTTTTTTTACTGTTAGTTCTCCCAAGCGACTTGAGTGACGAGTGACTTGTACTGCCATGATCGCACCTTGCCAGGTTCGCCCGACAGGCTGGAACGGGGCCGGATGGCCTCTCAAGCGCTGGGTCGTTCAAGGTTGTCAATCAGAACTGTCATTCAAGCATCGATTCTGACTCATCCCGGGGACCATGAGAAAAGGCAGCCAAGGCACGAAACTCCGAGCTGCAAGGTACCATAGGCAGCTGCAGAGAGAGCTCAGCGAGAGCAATGAAGGCGCTATAGAACTCGAGACGAGTTGGCTTTGAGCAACGTCATTTGCAGAGCTTTAGGTTGGAGGCCATCGCTATTAGGTTGGAGGCCATTGCTATTAGGCTATTAGGTTCAACGTCATGTGCAGACGTGTGCAGACGTTCAAATCTCCACTTCAACCTGCCAGGTGACGCTGCCCGCACCACGGATGCTGCAGACGGCCATGGGACCGGTGGGTTGGAAGCATCACCAGGTGGATCAGCTGATCCATCACCCAGGAGGCGATCGGAAAGACCGGGCGCTTTGATGATCATTGCTTTTACTATGAGGATGATTACTGTTACACTATTGTCATTAGTTATCATTTTGGCCTTTGCTGTTGGTAGTTCCTTTAAACTGGCAAAGACCGCGGCAGGGACGCGGAGAAAGAGCTCCATGGCGAAGGCTGAGACTGTCTTAGCGGGTCAGTCCAGCGGTCTGTATGGTGTGGGTTTTGCTGGGATTCATCACGAAAGCTAGCACCAGCTAGCTGGAGTTGTCCTTGCTTTAGCAAGTGAGGGGCTGGAATCCTCGGGATCGCCGCATCACGTGAAAACTTCATATGTAGGGGGGGCCCCCGTGGGTTCAACTCCCCCCTCGGACGCCTCTGGGACACCTCTCGGGCATCTCTTATGGCATCCACTTTGGCTTAACTCCTCCGGGATACGGTGCAACAGATTCAACAAGCTCACATGTTCATGACATCGACATCGATAGAAGAAACCAAACAAATCATGCAAGCAGCTTTGTTTTGCCTCTGGGACACCTCTTGGGCACCTCTTATGGCATCCACACTGGTTCAACTCCTCCGTGGAGGTTTTGGGATACGGTGCAACAGATTCAACAAGCTCACAGGTTCGTGAACACATCGGATGCATCGAACAGTGTGGCAAAGTCCAGCCACGCTTCCTTAATTGTCGGGGACTTCAATTCGAAGGTTGCCTGTGTCATTGCTGTTTGTGTGTCTTACATGTTTACAACGTTTTACCTCATGAGCATTTGCCTCACTCCGCTTGATGTCCCACCAGTCCGGATGCACCCCTGCAAGCTTTCGTCGCCTACCCTCGGCCTCAAGTTTCCCGGTCCATTCCATGGGTGAGGAGTGAGGAGGACCCTCGGATTTGGAGATGCATTTAGACCAGCAGACGAAAAACCTCTTGAGTGAGGGGGAGAGCCTTTGATTTGCGCAAGAGCTGGTCAACCGCCAAGGGTGATTCAACAGTTGCCTCCGAGCTACCTCAATCACTGGCTGGTGTTGTCATGCCTCCGGTTCTACCACGGACTGGCCAGGGGGACGCCACACCGGGGAGGATGCTTCGCGCGAGCGGGGAGATGGTGAAGGCTGGTGGCCAAAGACTCGAGACTTGTGGAGGGAGGGAGTGATGATTTGAGTGTCACGAGATGTCAGTCAGCTCACTTGTCTTGAAAGTTCTGTCAAATGCTAGCTGCTAGAGAAACTTGGAGCTTTTTTTCGGTGCTCCCGACGACAGGCGAAGGCCGATGAAAGCTTGGCCAAGCTATTTGCTCTGAATTCATGCTCCCTGCTTTAGCCTGTCCTGGCAACCCTGAGACGGGTGACTGGCACTAACTGGCTCACCTATGCCAGATCTATGATCTTTTTGTTTGTCGATTACCTGCGCCATTTGCTAGTTCCGGAAGAGATCAAAGGACTCTTCAAATTGCAGCTTGCCCGTTGGAGATGTTGTTTGGATGGGGTGCGTTGCTGACACCTGCAATCGTGTTGGGCAAAGGGGCCCTTCGACAATGTCCAACGGCGGATGGCTCAACGCGGAAGCAAGATGTTTCCAGTGCTCAAAGTAGCAGCTACATTGCCTAGAACGATGTAGCCTGCAGTGCTCAAGAAGAGCAGTGCGGGTGGAGGCAGGTGGAAAACCGTTGCAACTTTGAAACTCCATCAATTTGGAGATGGGATTCTGGCCGACCGTCACAAGCACAGACACGGTTTTGCTTGATCCAATTTTCAGTTAGAGATTCAACGCTGCAATGTGCTTTTTCAAAAGGCATACAATTCTTTAAAAGAGAGATAAGCCGGTGTGGTGCTCAGGCTCAAGGGGAGAAGCAGGAATCATTGCATCACGCCTTAGGGGAGAAAACTATGAGACCCCTTCGACTTCTCATGCTTTCTTTTGTGGGATGCAACCTGCCTTGCTTGCAAGCGTGGGCCCCCCCTGAATCTCATGCCTTACACGAAGCAGCACGCGGGAGGATTGCGAAGAGCATGGTCCAATCGCCGGCACATGATGTGTTGAGGGGATTCAGTCAGACGATTCTACCATTGAAGCCTCCAAACAAGAGAATCCAACTGAAATATGGAGCCTTGGGCCAAACAACATCTCACAGTTTCTTTTGTCCGGCAGCGATGCCTGCGCAAAAGGCGGGTGTCGGGGTCATGGCCAATTCTTCATCAAAGAGGAGGCAAATCTGATAGTTATTTGAGGTTCGTGCCAGGGCAGCTTTCCGAATGGTTTCAGAAGGCGGGCTCTCAAGGCTCTCACGGCTCATCGTTGCTCCCCAGGCCGTGCAAGCTCTGTCGGCCAAGACCGATGCCGTCCGGCACCGAGTGTCACGGCGGTCGCCGTCCGATGCAGGGCGTGGGCCTCGTTCGATCCCTCCGAACCGATGCGCAGCGTCTCTTGTCAGATGCGAGCGACTGCGGTGCCTCTGCTCGTGAAGTTGGAAGAGCAGGCTTGGGCTGTTTGAGACAAGTGCAGTAGGACTTAGGGCCTCAGCCCACTGTTGTCTTGGCGTTTTTGGTTTGCGCTACCTCGCCGCTCGCGACGTCCAAGACGCCGCTCAGCCGGCGGTTAGTTTTCATTGGCTTCGCTCGAGTTTGGCAGGTGGAGAAGTTGACGAAATTGGCCGATGATTACCTCGAGCAGGGGATGCTACTAGGAGCAAAGGGCATCGCTACTAGGAGCAAGGACGCTACTAAGGGCTCCTGGCCTTACTACTAGGAACAAGATGCTACTAGTTACTAGTAACAACTGCATCGCTTCTAGTAACAAGTGCCTTACTAGTAGTAACAAAAGCTACTAGGAGCATGGTTTAACACCACCCTCGAGCAGGGGATGTTCGGGCCTGGGATTCACTCGTTTCGGAGCCTATGGCTATGGCGGCTACGGCTAGGGGAGATCTCATGCTTGCTACACACGGTCCAACATCATGGACCGTGTGCTATATTTTGCCTGAAGCACCCCTAGCTTGTCGGCATTTTCGCGGCCTCATCTTAACTCCTGTCCAATCATGTATATAGCCTGCAGCTGCAATTCCATCAGGCGGACGAGCTTGGAATGCATTGAGTCAACCTGCCTTGGAGATGCCTGAGGCTTGGCCACTACGCGGAAGCCATCAAGATGCGAGACAGTGCAACAGTCTCCCTTGAGGCCGCAGGGGCTGAAGATATCTGTCATCTTATCTTCGCATTTGTGAGTCCGCGGTCAGCGCGTAGAACGGTAGGGTTTTGTCAGCAAGTGGATGCTGAAGAACTTGACAGGAGAATCCCAGTTGAAACACTTGTGACTTTAATCCTTCGTGATTTGCTCTTAGGTAGGGAGGAACCCCCAGGGGCCCGCGTCACCCCATTGCCAGGGTCTGCAGCAGAAGTTGGGGATTTCAGGCGAGGCAATCATGGGCAAAACTACTAGGAGCAAAGGGCATCCGCTACTAGGAGCGAGGACACTACTAGTAGCTCCTGGCATTAGTACTAGGAGCATTCTTACTACTAGTAACAAGAAACTACTTTTTGTGGAAACGGATGGTGGATTAACATGTCTTTTTTTGGCTGGACCTGTCCAGCCGCCCATTGTCTGAGCGTTCCGCAAGCCCATTGAGCGTCAATGGATGATAACTTGTCCAGAAGCCAGGCGAAGCAGCTGACCTGGCTACGCCCACGCTGGGGAGACCCAGCTGGTTGTTTGTCACAGTTTGATGCAGGACCCCTGCTTGTGACTGGGGGATTTCAATTGTAGATAGTTCTGACATTCTTTTCTATGTGTCGGCTTTGATTCCTTGGTTGCTTCAGCCAAGGAAGGCGGAGGTCAAGAAGGAGGCCAAGAAGGATGCAGAGAGGGAGGCCAAGGAGGATGCAAAGAGGCTGAGTGAACGTGACAAGGACAATGGCAAAAAGGCAGACGCAAGGGAGGCCAAGGAAGACACGAAGAAGGCGGTCAAAGACGAACCAAATGAGGCGGGATGTTGCCCTGACTTTTGTGTTTGTTTTATCCTAGGGCCTCAGGCGCACAGAAATACGAAAACCGTGGCAAGACGTGGCAAGACAATGCATGCCTTGCATTCCTGTTACTAGTGCCTCCTGTTACTACTAGTAAGGCACCTGTTACTACTAGAGTGGCACCTGTTACTACTAGAGTGCGCGGTCCACAAGCCTTGCATTCCTGGGTGGTCTGGGAAGAACCGAATGACCCACGCCTCTGTGACAGGCCCTGGACCTTTGCAACGACGAGCCGCTGAGCTGAAGAAAAGGTGACCCAGAGACAAGCAACGAGATACAACAAGCAAAGATGCTGGGATATGCTGCAACTCGTTGACCATCTAATTTTCTTATCTCTTTCACCCAATCAACATCATAGTGAACCGCCTTTTTGCTTTTCATCCTCCTCTTTTCATCCTCTTTGTTGTTATAATATGCATATAAGTCCTTGACGAGTCGAGTGCTAATGCCCAAGCCATTTCTAGGCCCAGCTACCGTTGGATCGCTGCCGGGGAGGGCTGTGTTGTGGAGATCAAGGGCCCGGCCTGTGAGGCGGGTGTTGTGTTTTGCTGGGTCTGGGTGTTATCAACCTTGCATGGGCACACAAGACATCACCGTACACCCAGCTGTGTGAAGTTATGTGAGTACGGTATATATATGTATATATACATATGAGTGAAAACCGCAAAACCTTAGCTGGTTGACTTTAAAAGGTCTGGATTGGAGTGCGGCCCGTGTGGCGCTCCTTCACTGAACCTGCGCCGCTCTTTCACACGAGGCTGATGCGATGCCCGACGTCGCCCCTTTAGCTGCAAAGCGGGCTTTGACAGAGTTCTCGTGGATTGCGACACTCTTTGTGTGTTGGTACGCTTGGGCTCTGACTCCGCCAGGGCTGCATTTGTTCGTTGCATATTCCCCTCCTATCAATACGCGACCGACCAGGACCATGAATCATGCGAACAAGAGCTGGGTGGTGAGCTGGCGGGCTTCCCCTTGCCCAAGGAACTTTCAGAAGTGCAAGCCCGCTGCAGCAGGGATCCTGGAGACATTTAGAGTTCTCCGTCCCATGTCAGTGAGAGAGAGAGAGAGACAACGATCTGATCCATCTGAATACATCTATCTAATTCATCTAGCTAATTCGATGTCTTAAAGACTTGGGGAACATCCCGGTGATGTGGCCCTGCTGAGTCGGAGTCGACCGAGGTTGGGAGACCAGTGCTTGGCAGTTCGGGGCCCTGGGCCGGCGCCCACCGGCAGCCACTGTGCGAACGACGTGGGCGTCTCTTCGAGGCTCACCCTACCGGTCGCCTTTAGTCTGGACGTGGCCAAATGCAAGGTGGTGCGGAGGCCTGCCTTGGGCAGCTTGTTGGGTGAATCGAAGTTGAAGTTGAGAAGACAGACCGTGATGCAGGTGCATCATGCCTCCCACCATTTCTTGTGCTCCTCACCAATGCAGAAGTCCTGTCCTGCTGTTCGCTGAAAACGGCTCCACTCTTTGTGGCAGGCGGAAGAGGCAGATCCTCGAGCCAGAGCCACAGCTATGTGGCCGAGTTCCCCAAAGAGCCTTACGGTTGATGCCGAGAATGAGATAGAAGTTGCCATACTACTACATAATTCAATAGAGGAATTTGTTCATTTTCCTTGGTTTTGGATCCAGGAAAATGCATGCCTTCAGAAGCATCGTTGATCATACATACAAACACCCTGGTACCCCTGAAAGGGTTTCGGCCCGTTTGCGTGGGCTGGTTGTTTTGAACGGACTGGACGCCATTTTCTGCACACCTTCATTTGAGGCTCCACCTCACTCCTGCACCACCGGCGCCGTCATGTGGCCTCAAGCAGGCCGTGCTGGAGCAAGGCTGGGGACCGGCCGAAGCTCCCAGGGGGACGCTGTTTCTTCAGACGGATCATGACGTTTCAGACGTTTCATGACGTTTCACAGGGAGCTCTGGATTGACAGACTTGTTTGTTGCTACTGAATGACAGACACGTATTTGTAGAATTTGCAGGAAAACAGCTGGAACGCTTGCAAAGTGTGTCATGGACTTATCATTTTTGGCAATTATGATGTTAGCGCAGACCTCAACCAGAAGCCTTCTCATGTTCTACTTATACTTGGAGCTAAATGAAGATGGCAGAGCCTCAGCAGGTTTTGGCTGGATGGATGGGTTGGCAGCCCCAGACTGTTTGAGGATGGCGGGAATTGGTCGAGATGTCACAGAGCGACTAGAAAGTCCAGAATGTCGGTGCCAAGATGGAGTGATCACTGAGCTCTGCCAGCTCTGCTGGATTCTGGTCATGAGACCTGTACAGGCTTGTTCAAATCATCCGCGTCGACGGCCAGCTCCCTCGTCGCATGCTAACCGACACGCCACATCAGGTTCTTGGCGGGCCAGGAAGCCGATGTGGCTGGGAGCTCGGTGACAGGGCGTGGTTTGGCCGATGGCGCGCAAGGCGTCCGAGCAGGGCGTGGTTTCACCTTAAAGTCTTAAAGCGTCCGGACGCTACTAGTAATGCCCTATAGCTACTAGTAGCGTTCTTGCTACTACTAGCGATGGCCGTAGCTATGGCCTCCAACCTCCATGCAAGGAAACCGTGTGGGTTTGGTCAGCTTTCAGAATTTGTTCCTCAGGTGAGGGCCCGGCTGCTCGATCTTTGGAAGAAGGGCGAGTTGAACGAGGGTGAGGTGCAGCCTCCGCCATGGTGCTGTCGTAGGTATCCTCCCACAGACGCGGATCAAAGAGTCGAATGTCAACACAGTCAACACATGTGACATGTGTCATACGATTCACCTGTTTGATACAAGCATTCATGGTGCACTGCTTCAAGTACACTGTTGCCCTAGTAGCGATGCCTTGCTCCTAGTAGCGATGCCCTTTGTTCCTGCATTTTTTGACAACCTCTGAGTCACATCCAATCATGCACATCGGTATGTGCATAGAGGTCGAGGGAGGCAAGCGCCAACACTTGCGCTCCGACCACTACCTCTTTATGCAGGTGCCAGCAATCTGGGCAGAATAAGTGGGGGCAGGTGATGGCGTGTGATGGCGTTTACTTTTAATTCATTAAAGTAGGTGGGTTGAAGCGGCTGATTGTCGGACCTCCAGCACGTCCTTCAGCCGGTTTCTTCCGTGGCACCCGGGTCCTCCAGCCTGCACCGGTTAGGAGGACGACCCAGCAGTGGCGCCCTTCACCCGGCGCTTGGATCAATTGGCCTGTGGCCCCAGCATTCAGTGGAAGATATGGAAGCTGAGAGTGGGTATGAACGTAGATCACGCCTTGGTGCAGAGAGGGGTCAAAAGATCAGGCAGTTATAGAAAGAGCCTATGGGATTATTGTGAGCACACTTAAAGCGACTGAACCGAGATAGGAACAGGAACAGGTTGCTGTATGTGAAGTGGTTTTGATTGCTTGTTGACCCACATTCCCGGCATGTCAAGGTGCTTTCCATCGCGAAGGAGGCTCATTTTTGACACCTTGTCGCTGCTCTTAGTCTGAGCTCTTGGCGTGTTAGCCCTCGGCGTTTGCAGTCGTTGCTCCCTCAAAGTTCTCTGAAACAATGAAAGCGACAGAGAATTGGACTGCAGGATTTCAGTTTTTTTCTTTGTCGGGCTGCTTCAGGTGGACGAGCTCAAAGATCTCTGGCTTATGCGTGGTCGTCCCATGGTTGCCGTTGGGGTGCTCATCGTCCACGGCAATAGAGAGATGAAATGAAACATCAGTCTTTTTCCCGAAAGACTTGGTCGAAGGGCTCTTACTAAAGGCACTTGGTCTGACATATCTACGACTTCATTTGACCAGAGGCTTGCTCAGGCTTTAAGCACTTGTAAAAGTCTTTAGCACTTGTAAGAGTTTTGCTCAGGCTTTAGCATTTGTAAGAGTCTTTTGCACTAGCACGGGCTTTATGCACGGGCTTTAACACTTGTGAGAATGTTGCACTAGCACTTGCAAGAGACTTGATTAAGTTTTAAGTTTTAGCATTGGCAAGAGACTTGACCTAGTTTTTGTTCTTGACTTGCCAATCTTTCAATTATCTGTGAAGCCGGGGCGGGCCAAAAGCAACCCTCTCGCAGGATCCGGCCTGTGGAGTACCCAAACGTGTAGCGAAGCGACAATTCTGTCGGTCGTCGATGAACACTCTCGCAGGATCGGCCATCTCGCAGGATCTGGCGAGTCAGCGTGTTGAGTATCCGAACGTGAAGCGAGAGAACGCGAGAAGCAGCCCTCTCATAGGATCTGGCGTGTTGCGTGCCCAACGAACCTTGTCGGCGCTGGCAGAACCCTCTCTCAGGATCCGGCGTGTTCAGTGCCGAAGCGTGAGGTGAAGTGCGAATTTTTGTGCGCGTTGGGTTGCTGTGCGACGTCACAACGGAAAAAAACTTTATTCTTGTGCACGCTTTGCTTGAAGCTTTCGGGCCATCACGGGTCTAGGTTTGGGGGGGCCTATGGTTGGCAACCTCCAACCTAATAGCGATGGTAGTAGTGCCCCCGCTACTAGCTTGTAGGAAGCAGATGGGTGTGGTTGTCCACTCACAGTTTATGCCATGAGCTCAGGTCTACGCCGGTGCTGGTGCCCGGTACACTCCGCACTTCGACGCGGTCAGGGGCGACAATGGCCGGAAGATCACCTGTGTGTTGCAGGGCGCCCGGGATATCGATATCATTCGGCCAGGCAGTTCTGTTCTTTGCTGATTTGGGTCCACCGACCGCTTGGTTTCTGATGCGTGTGCAAATGTGGGCTGGCCAGCAAGTGCTTAAACAGCTGCACTTGATGGATTACTTATATAATCGTCTATTTGGGTAGGGTATGGCCTAACATGGTTTCGCGCGATGATTTGTGGCTTCCTTGTTATGCGACATGCTGGACTTAGGTACTTGAACCCCTTTTGGAAACCTGGTGATGGAGCAGAGCTCCAGATCTTCCCTGAGGACTTCAGCGTGCCGACAAGTAAACACCTTTTTGAGCTCCATTTGCACTGTAAGTGTGCATGTTGGCCCTCAAATTAACGTGAAGAAAGTCTACCCCTGTATGAAGTACATCGCATCTTCCCGAAGTCGTGCTTTGATGTGTTTTTGCCGAAATCAGTGCAATTGCGGTCACCTGTGTGGAGGCCAAGGGCATCTCACCAGAGGGCCCCTGTCACGAGGTGGAAAGAGACTGATCGGCTGATGGGGCACGACAAAGCATGACCCAAAGGGCATGAGAAGGAGGGCTCATGAGTGCTCTTCCTCAGTTCATGGATCTTCTGCTTGTCAAAACTTTCACACGCTTGCAATCAATGATTCTTCTGCATGCCGGGCTCTTCAGCCGAAGAATCTAATCTAGAATCTAATGTAATGCGATGCGACGCAATGTATGCAGTGCATGTCATGTACGCAATGTGATGGATGTGATGTGATGTGATGTATGTACGTCGAACAACTCAGAACAAACATATTGAAGCGTGATAGGCTCTAGACTCCACGTGACCCTGCTCGCAGGTGCAACCGCTCCACGGCAGATTGGCTTGCTTCCTGTGTGACAGCAGGCGTGGGCATAGTGGCACATTCCAATTAATCAATGACTACAGAAATGAAGATCTTCCCATCAGGCCGGGGTTCCAGTTCAATGAAAAGAGGTACTTTAAGCGGAGGAGCAGAGGAGTCTTTAAGGGTACGTAACCTTTGCGGACGCTCTGTGCCAACCTTCTTGCAAGCACGCCCAAGGCATATCATTTTGCAACATTCGAAAGTGGCACTAACTGTTCAACCGTTGTAATTACTGTGTGCCCTGTTTCTTGCCAGGAACTTACATGCAGCCGGGACTCCAGTAAACTTTGTCATTCAACCGAAGTCGGGCTTCAGTTGTGACATGTTCCTACCAATCCCCACTCTCTATATCTACCCATTGGCCCGAATTTCGGATCATCCATAGACAGGGCAGACGTTCGCAAAATCTCCAGATTTGGGTGCCCCAATGCCCGGCTTCCGAGAGCCCAGGTGAAGCCGGTGTCTGAAAGTGCCAAGATGCCGCGAGTGGCCATCAGCTGCCAGGGCACCCCAGATCTGATGAGTCATTGGCCCAGCAAAAGTGTATGCTGGATCCGGATTTGAGGAGTTTCTAGATTCATGGGCCATGGATTTGGAATTGGTTTACTTGAGTTCGAGGGGCCTCCATCCAAGATGCAGGACGCGAGGGAGGAACTGAGGAACCTTCCAACAGTCTGGGTCGAAAGTGGTTTGAGTGTTGGGGTCAGTAGTAAGCTAGCAGATGCTAGCAGCTACATGCAGATACTGTGTATTTCGTTTGAGAATTTCCACTCAAAGTTTGAGACCTTTCACTCCTTGCACCCTTAAGGTTGGTACTACGACTCGGAGGTGGAACACGGTTTGGGCCGGTGAACCTGTTTGGGACCGGGCGGCCTTAGTCGAGAGAGGGAGAGAGAGAGAGGATGGACAGATGGAGAGCGCCTGCCCTGGCCAGGGTGGACAGTTCCATCGTGAGGATGAGAGAGATGCCCTCCGAAGCCGCAGCTAGATCCAAAAGGGGCTTGGTGGGTCTTTGGTTTTGCCCGCAGCCGGCGGGCGACAGACACACTTTCACATACTGTACGCAAATTGCTTGTTTCAGGGCTGTCCAATTTGGCATGAGCCGTGTGCTCTTGTTACCGTTTCTTTTTTCTGGAAGTTGGCTCAGCATTGACAACCTTGATGTCAACGGGTTTATGCCACCTCTGGCTCAAGCCGGGATATGGGGCACCCCACGCTGGGGATCCCCAGCAGACGCTGCTCTGGCACGTTTACATCTGGGGCTCCGCCTTTGAGTGGATTTGGGACAAAGAGAAGGAGGGATGCTGCGACGCAGAAGGCTATCTGATCCCTCCACTCTACAAATCATGCTGATTCTTTGGACTTCCCTGGGGGCTTCGCAGATCTCCACAGAAAGACTGGTGCTGCCTGGCTTTGTGATTCTTTAAGGAATTTGTGCAAGATGCCTGCGTAGGATCTGCATGTGGCTTGGATTCAGCTGCTTGACAGGCCGCCCGACTCACGCCACAGATTCTACTTACGCACGCGTGGAGCCACAGCCGGCCAAGAGACTCTAAATGACTGTCTTCGGACGAAGAGATCGGTTACAGCCCCGTTTGGAGTCCCCATTTGGAGTCCTCGTTGTGTTTGCAGAGACATGGCCAGGCCGCTGCCGACCCGGCACCGCGTGCATCCATCCCCTGGCTTAGCGAAAGCATGCAGCAGCGGCTTGGCCTGATGTCGCAAAAAGCATCAAAAAGCTAAGCTGCGAAAGGGCTACTGGGCTACCTCATCAACCTAGAGGAGGTTGTATGACCGGAACTTTCACTAAGTGCTTGGCCTTTTCCTAAACTGAGGCTGAAGACCACCCGTGCATGGCACCCAGTAGAGTGTGGACAGAAATGGCTAGACTTAGGATTGATGGACACGAGCAGGTTGAAAGCCTTCCTATATGGTCCTGTTATGTCCTGTTGCCCTCGGCAAGAGGGCAGTGCCCACTTAGACATTTCTTTCAGCACGAGTGAAGTTTTGCAAGAAGTTCCTGGCCTTACTACTAGGAGCAAGAAGCTACTAGTAACAAAGGGCATCGCTACTAGGGACAAAAAGCTTCTAGGGGCTCCTGGCATCGCTACGAATGGAGCGATCGGACGCTACGAACGGGGCTTCTGCCCTGAAGCGAAACGTGCTGTGGTCACCGAGGCTGGCGCCATTTCACGCAGGGCAGCCTAGGATGAAGGTTGGGAGATCGGAAGCGAGATGTCTCAGAAACGTCAATCATGTGGAGAGAGTTCTTTTTTTCTCACCCGCTCTCTCTCTCTCTCTCTTTCTCTTTTTTTTTTTCTCACCCTCTCTCTCTCTCTTCTTTCTTTTCTTTCCATTTTGTTTTGTCTTCATTCACAGAGGGGTTTCTTCCCCACTCTGTGGGGCTGATCTCAGAGCTCCACCGGAGCATGGGAAGGGGCCCATAGATCGGCTCCGGCAGAGCTCGGGCCGAGGCCGCGCGGGTTTGCACCGCCAGGTGCGTTCCATGTCGCAGGCCTGATCGGTGGAGTCCGCTATTTCAGAGTGTTCCCAAAGTGAACAGTGCAGATGTACCTAACTGCAGATGTATATAATTACCCCCCACCAGACTTGTATGATCTTATATGATAAGAATGCTCCTAGTAGCGATCCAGGAGCCCCCAGTGGCGTCCTTGCTCCTAGTAGTAAGGCCAGCCGGGTGGTTGGTCCAACTTGTTCCCACCAGGCCCTTCTTCCAATCCATCGGGCCCTTCTTATTAGTACTTGCCCGGATCTTAGCTGTTTGGGTGCTTCGCTCTGGTTGCTTTCGCGAGGACTTATTGCGTGTTTATCCGCATCATCCGCCGTGTACAATCGCAAACAGTTTGTGTGTAAACTAGTTTGACTCTGCCACAGCTTGCCATGTTCCAAGGCCTAGTCTGTGCGTCTGCCCTGCCAGTCCCCCAGCCTGGAGCGAAACACATGTGCCATGCCTCAAGCCATCGAGCACAAGCAAACAGCCTTGGTCCCCAAACAAGAGGCACACAATTTATATATTTTCGCTTTTGTGCATATTGAGCTCCAAGAAAGACTGCAAAGCTCCCAAATGTATACATACCCAGAATCGGGTCCCTGTATGCACATGTGTCGGGAGATGTGCATGCACCCAATACCATGGGAGTGCGGCTATTGGTCTGGCTCATTCGTCTCATGATGTATGATGAGTTGTTGCTGGCCTTCCCAAAGAGCTCAGTCAGAATGAGCAAGATGCCTTTGTCCAGTGGATTGTGCAAGTTGGGTGCGTATTGCTCGCCCGCCTCTTCAAGCCCTTGGTCCTTGTGCCGAGGCCCCACGCGCAGACCTGGAACCGGTTTCACGAGGCAGTAAAAAGAGTTGGATGCGGAAAGGGCCTCCAACCTACTAGCGATGGCCTCCAACCTAATAGCAATGGCCTCTAACCTGCAAACTGGAGTTTCACAATAGGTGTCGCTTGGACTTGTTTCGCTTCCGTGCTTCAAGGGAAAGCATGGACGAGCCCAGAAGGCTGGAACGTTGCCGAGCCCGGTTGCAGCACGGACAAAGGGCAAAGGCTTTGTTCAGGCTCATCAGGTGGACATACAGCATTCTTTTCTGAAGACAAGCTGAGAACGTCTTGAAACAGTTCACAACACCGCACAGGAACGGGCTGATGGGTTACTGTCTGCTTGTCGCAGAGCCGACCAGGGCGGAATCCTCATCGCTCTTTCGGATAACCAGCTGAAGAGCTTCGGGCACAAGTGCCAGATGCCTAGCTGATGCCTATTGCATGGGAGACTTGCACACTGAAAGCGCAGAAATGACAACCCAAGCAAGGCTCTTGTTGTCCTCCCCCGACCGAAACGGAGGACGACGACGAGCGGTTTCGTTTCCAAGGCGATGATGACGAGTGCGGCCCCAAGGCCGCGAGTGCACGTGCCGTTCCGGACGCCGAAGGCACTGAAGGCGAATGGGGGGTTGCCGGGGCCAAGAAAGGGCAGTGGCGGAGCTGGATGTGAATCCAGATGATCCAGATCGCAATGTCGAATCCAACCATTGAGCTTACAATCCTTGTCAGTCCATTTGCCATCCGTGACCTCAACGATGTGGAAGTATGTTTTGATGAAGATGAGTTGTCAGTCTCTTGGAGGCCATCGCTCTTAGGTTGGTGGCCATCGCTATTAGGTTGGCGGCCATCGCCACTAGGGTGGAGGCAATCGCTTTTAGAATTCCTTGCCATGAGTTGTCAGCTCTTGTTTGATTTGCATCTCAGCCAGGGGCTCCGTTGAGCTTCTTCCAGGCAGGTGCGTTAGGAACTCAGCTCAGAGTGTGACTCGGGTGCTCTGTGCTAAGGCTGAGGTTGGCATGTTTACTCACCTAAGCCCATCTAAGCCCTAAGCAGGTTTGGGAAAACCTGGTTGGAAAGTCCTTTTGCGAATTTTTCCCACAAGCCACAGCTACAGGCTATGAGCTGAATAGCCGCGCCCAAACCAGTAGGCTGAAGAACCCTCTCTGGGCCATGGAATGAACCAAAACAATCACAACAATTCAAAAAACAAAGCCACGAGGACATGGATAGCCTGAAGATGGTTGAATGTCTTTTGACATTTTTGAGTGGCCCACGTGGCCAGTTCAGGTCCATGCAGCCGCGGGCTGTGGATGCTGTTGTTCCAGAGCCCCCAGTCACAGGATGCGGGGGGGTCGCGCTGGCAATGCGTCACACGGATGCCTTTTCTGAGGTGATTCGGATGCATTTTTGGAGTTTTTGTTGCGTTGGCTTGTCGGCTCAGGAGCTTCATTGGGAGCTCAACATGTGATGACGGAGGTTTTCCCAGAGGCTCGAATCAGCAATGGAGAGAGAGAGAGAGAGAGAGAGAGAGGGAGAAGGGATGAAGGGAAGGGTGGCTCAAGTTTGGCTCAAGCCGGACTGACCGCCACTGCCACCTCGGAGGGCACTGGTACATCGTGATTGCAGAGCACTTTGACCTTTCCTTTTTGGAGGGCATCCATACCTTTGCCCGTAATCCGAGATTGACGAGTGCACCACCGTGTTTGTTCCGTGGCATGATGGGGACCTATGCCCAGGACTATGTGAAGGTGAGATCCAGGCGGAAGTATGTGGCCTGTTGTGGCTGCAGCTCATCGTGGATCTGGGCAGATCGGATCAATGCTCAGAGATGGGGGTGCAATCAATGTGGCACTCCATGGCCTGGTGTTGATGGTGACTGGAAGACCACCTCCTCAGTCAAGCAGGCGCGGAAGCCACGAGGACGAGTGCGGCCACAGGTAGATCCACCTCCAGGACTTGGACCAAAGACCAAGCACATCCCAAGCGCCATAGAGTCCACTCTCAAGAAGGCATGGGGGACGCTGCCGAAAGAAGCTCATGAAGCATTGAAAGCACTTGGCATTGACTTCACACCTGAGCCGGAATGCCCACCGCTTGAAGAGGTGTTGAAAGCGCATTTAGAGTCATTGCCTTCAGAGGTGAAAGAGGCAGTTGTTGGCTTGATCAAGCCAACACCAACGGTTGCAGTTGACGTTACAGGGCAGCTCAAAGCAACGGTTGGTGAACTGAGGCAACTGGCCACAAAGAAGCAAGCTCTGCAGAGGAAAGTTGACCAGGCCAAGGACCACTACAAGATTTTGCTTGATGAGCTCAAAGCTGTACAGGAAGCCATAGACAAAGAGCACAAGCAGCTAGGTGACCAGTCGGAAGCCTACGCGAAACAGCTGAAGGCTGAAGCGGTCACGGTGACATCCACCGGGGATCATGTCCTGGATAGTGATGCCACCGAGCACGTCCTCAAAGCACTTGGACAGGCTGGCATCATTTTCAACTCCGATCAGCAGAAAGAGCTTGAGAGGAATTTGGCTGAGACCATGTCCAAGCGCCGCAAGACTGATGAAAGTCAGTTGAGCGGGTAACAGCAACTGGATGGCTGGTGCAGCAAAAGGGTTTGACAGAAGTGCAAGCTGTCTTACAGTGAAGGGGTCCTGGAAGATGGCAAGTGCTGGTCAACAAGACAGACACAATCTTGGGGAAACTTCAAACGCTTGGGAATGTTTGAATGTTTGGAGGGAGATCGAGTCAACCAACTGTGCTTGGGGTTGTCAGCAGTTGGTTGAAGATGGCTTGCAATGCTGTTGGTGTGACGCACAAAGTGGACATAAGGCTCATTTTCGTCAGGAACTTCAAGGATTGCAGCCGTATGTGAGTGTGAATGATTATCATGAGCCACCCTTTCCATGGATGCATGATGGAGGCAAATTTGGCATTGATTTGGGGGTTGATCATGCCTTCTCAATTTTGACATCTTCCAGGGCAGGCCTGAGCCATGAGATGATGGCTTCCAACCCTGGTGGATATGGACATGATGGATGTGGGAGCGCACAGAATTCACAGGACACGCAACTGAAAGGAACCCCTTGTGCAAAGCTGGAAGGGGATAGACCTGCTCAGGACATGGCGTCTTGTGAAACGAAAGATGGAGAGGATCCAGAAGGGGCTGAGGGAACCTCTAGTTCAAAGCAAATGGAGGCTAGACCCTTTGAGGAGAGCCGTTCACAGGTTACTGGAGTTGGCCAAGCAGTGTCAATAGTCAAGAGCATGGGTGCAGAAGATGTTCACGATGCAGCCCGGTCTGGGACGCACCTTCGGCAACACAGAGGCAAAAAAACAGCTGTATCAGATACACCTGCCGATCTTGAGGACAAGCGCGCAGAAGATGTTGACGGTGCGCCCTGGTCGGGGCAAAATTTCCGACATCACGGGGGTGCATGGGAGGAGACTGAAGGGGCACTGTGCTCTACGTTCTCAGAGCGGCCAGGCTTGCCTGGACCTGCTGATGACAGGACCCTGGAAGCTCCTTCACTCCTTGGCGGAGGCAAGCGTGGTCATGCATCCACTGTGGAAGACGTGCTGGAAGATGTGGAGCCCACAGGTGATGATCACCTTACTCCTGGGCATTTGCAAGACAGAATGATGATATTGCAGCAAAGAGCGATGGAAGCACTGCAGGCTCTTCCGGCTGACTGCCGGGAGGATTTGGGCTTTGGCAAAGTGGAGACCCGGGTTTGGGGCCTTGAGGCTCTGAAGCACATCTTGAAGATGCGCTTAGCGCTCCAGAGTAGCTTACCACTGACGAGGTTGGTGGAACATGCACCACTGATTCCACCGGCCAATGAGTTGTTGGCAGCCAATTTGACCCTCACCCTTGGCAACAAAGGCAACAGGTGCTATGCCAACACTGTGCTGCGCCTGTGGTGTTGGATGGGTGCACATCACTCAAACCCTAAGGAGTTTTGGGGGCCTTCAACCAACCTATGCCTCCAAATCTTGCAGCAGGATGCCATTGAAGACATCTCTTGGGCGTCGGAGTTGCAACCGGCCTGGCGCGATTGGAGCATCCCCAGCAACAGCATGATGCTAGTGAGTTCCTTGTTCACCTGTGGGAACTATGGGGGCAGACTGGATTGCAGGGCAATTGGCATTCGCTGTTTGGTGGCCGGGAGCATGAGTTTGACACCATACCCCTGTTTATCCGTATGCCAGTTGATGCAGGTGAGGATGTCAACTTTGAGACGCTTCTGAGTGACTGGGCTAATGAAGCCAGCGGGCAATGTTTGGGCAGTGAGGTGGAGCATATAGTGTTTCACGTGGGTCGCTACTCCCTAGATACTGCAGCAAAGGCTTGGGTCAAGCACCACAACCGCCTGTATACACCATCCAGCTTTCGATGCCCGCAGAAGACTTCGACTGGCCATGCAAGGCATTCCACATTTGTCCTTCGTGGCATCATAGCCCACCAAGGAGAACAACTGACTTCGGGGCACTATGTGGCTATGCTGGTGGCTGGAGATGCAGTGTGGACTGTTGATGATGGTGAGTGCCCGCAAGTCCAGCAGCATGTGCCTGAGTACATCCAGCGGGGTGCTGTCATGATCTGGGCCTCCAAAGCGGAGCATAGCACCTTCTGGACCCATTCCATTGGAAGCTTTGATCCACCACCCAAAAGGCCACGCACAGGTGGAGAGGGCATTGAAGTTATGTACAGCAATGTCACGCAATGGAACAGAGATGCCAGAGAATGGTTGCTGCAGCAGGACCTCCAGTTGGCCATGCTGGTTGAGACACATGTTGCTGGAACCAAGCTGACTACAGCGGCCCATGAGATGGCCAGGAGCCGCTGGCAGGTCACTGCCATGGAAGCCTATGAAACAGGGCGTGGTGGCACTAGTGGTGGGCAGTTTTTCTGCAGCAGGGAAGGTCAATCTACCTACCAGATTCACCACTTTGACAAGGCTGGCAATGGTTTCCTTGCCAACGTTGTGCAGCGCCAGAACTGGGAAGTTGTCCTTGTCTCCATCTATTTGAAATGTGGTGAAGACTTGAATTCCACCAATAACGCTGCAGTCTTGGGGGAACTTGCAGCTTTCCTGGGTGAGCTGGCGGTCCCTTGGCTTGTCGTTGGCGATTTCCAAGTGCCCCCTGCACAGTGGCATGGACATCAGTTGCTCAACGTCCTCAAAGCCGAGGTGGTCAGTGCAGGACAGCCTACCATGATAAATGGGGCGGAAATTGACTACGTGGTGGCCAGTCGTGCCTTGACCCCTTTCATTGACATCAAGGTCAACTGGGATGTGCCGTGGAAGCCTCACGCGGGCCTCGTGATCACCATCGACAGTTCTGCCCCCCGGCTTCATTTGCCGCAGGTGACACAGTATGCTGCCATGCCCAAACTGCAGCACGCTGCCAAACCATGGGAAGAATTCCGGGCGGCGCCAAAACCCTACTGGCTGGGGCGCACCATGGGTCCCAAAGAACTGCAATGTGCAGAGTGGTGTCACAAAGCAGAACAATATGCACTGCAAAACCTGGCAGAGCCTCGTTGTGGCAGAGGGTGGTATCTGGCGATTGAGCTCAAGCCATTGCCCATGACTCGGCCCCTCACCCCGTGGAGGAAAGGAGATTTGGCATACTGGGGCCAATTTTGCTCCCTGCTGTCCCACATTGAGCACACAGGGCGCCTGAGTCACAATGTCATGCTGCACTTAAGGGCCAAGGCGGCTGACTTGGCGATGCGCTGGCAGAATGTGCATGGGGATGCTGCTTTCAGAGAAGCCCTGGAAGACCTGCTCTCGGGCATTTCAATGCCCTTGACCCTCCTTATGAAGGGAGCCGAGGCCAATCGGGACTTTGCCAAGAAACTTGCCATGCAGCAGCAATCTCAGGATTATCAGGCATGGCTGACTCAAGCGGCCTTGAAGGGGCACAGTGGCATTTACAAGTGCCTGAAAGCACCAGATGCAGTGCGTGTTCGGCCTTTCCGCAATGTACCAGTCCAAGATCGGCAGCAGCTGCGAGAGCAACAATGGTACAGCAAATGGCAGGTCATTGACAAGCCAGCCACATCAGGTGAACGAGAACGGCTCCGATGGGAAGGCATTGCGCAGGCCCGGCAATGTGCAGACCTCGATCCACACCAGGTCATGAAGCAGCTTGCCAAGCTGCCACAAAAGGCCAGTGGCCCTGATGGCATCAGCTATGCCCTTCTCAAGAATCTCCCACTGGAAGGAGTGATTGACCTGTGCCACATGTACCGGCAGTGGGAACTGACGGGCCGTTTGCCTGAGCAAGCCTGCACAACGTTGGTGGTTTTGCTTCCCAAGAAAGAGGACATTGAGAGGCCCATCAGTCTGACCAGTGTCCTATATCGTACTTGGTGTAAACTGAGATGGGACAAGCTCAAACATTGGCAGAGCATTGTTGGTCAAAGGCTCCCTTGGGAACGCAGCATGCCGGGTATGCAGGTCCTCTACGTTGCCCTGATGAGA